TGTGTACTAGCAAGAGATGTATACCGTCAGTGAGCAGAACAGCCCAGTTTTCTGCACACACACAACGGGAAAAGCAAGTAATGGAATTATTAGAAAAAAGAACACACACACACCCAAAAGTAAAAAAAGAAAAGAAATTCCAATTAAAATAGAAAGCTGGTAAACAGATTATTAATTTATTCACCCATAAGGGATGTACGCAATTATGATTATGTTAGTTACACTATTATTATTATTGTTTCTCCTCAGATGAGTCCCACCGTTCAGTACACAGTAGCGAAGAACAACACAACCACAATCAACAGCGGTGCTGCAGTGAGCATACACACAGGACTGATACTGCCGTCAGTATTACCCTTCATCTGCATATTGGGAGGAATAGTACTGATCTGTGTATCGGTTACAGGAGGAAGTGTTGTTGTTGTTGTGGTGGTGGTGGTGGCTGCAGAAGCATCGCCATTTCCTTCTGAGACCGCGTTGGCAGGAGGAAGTGTTGTTGTTGTGGTGGTGGTGGCGTTCGATTCCTTATTATTAAGGGTATTGACACTGTTTGAGTCCATCTTTGCTGAGTTATTGTTCTCTGTTGTACTTGCAGCTGGAGTGGTTTGGTTGGCTTTACTGTCCGCGTTAGTTGAACTGCTGCCGCTGCTTCCAGCTTGATTGTCCCCTGCAGACGCAGCCTCAGTCCTCTCGGCAGGTACAGGTACAGGAGAAACATAGCAGCAGGAGAATGGCCAGAATTAGTACCAACACCGGGAAGATTAATATCAGAAGCAGCACTATCAGATGCATGAGAAATAGCATTACTTTGGTGAGCTGACGCAGACAAACCATCCTGACCAGGTGGTGACTCAACTGTTCTTTGCTCACTTTGTCCTGCCAGTGTTCCACCAGTCCCTCCAAGTTGCTGCTTTTGTTCTCGTTGTGTCTGATCCAGTTGCTCATCGGTCCTCACACCATCCTTTTCTTTTGCCTCAGGCCCAGGAAGTACAACTTCGTTCTCCCTCAACTGATTATCCCTCCCTTTCTCTCCACTATCCAGAGACATCAAACGAGAACCTTCGACACTCTCAGAACCAATGCCGCCAAGAATTTCTTGAGGCCCCAACGAATCGTTTCCTTGACCACTAGTATGTTGAGACACAATTTTTGTTTCGTCTGGCTTGGCTAAATTTGAGGACTGACGTTTGTCATCTTCAACTGGTATGAAACCCACAATACGAGCCTCAGTGGCAAACACATCAGTAAAAAAAGCCATCTCCGCTTTTGGTTGTCCAGCAGAACCAGAAGCAGCAGCCGCCATGGTATACCCGCAGGTGCAGCACAGCACAACGGCCAACACACACATCACACGGCCCATCATCATCAGCATGAAAGAGACAAGGGGTTTGTTGCACGTTAAAACACTGATCTAGAAAGAAAGACAATCAAAAAGTAAAGAAATAAAATAACTGAAGTATCAAACATGTTAGGACACACAAATGGATTACCACTATGGAAACTCACATCGTGAAAAGTAAAACCTACCAGTTAAAGAATGCAATACAGCGCAATAACCTCAGTAAGAGTAAAAACAAAAAAAAACGCCCACACTCATAAATATCTCAAAACAAAGGCTGAATCACCCAGCAAAACGAAAAAACAAATAAACAGATATTAATAATTAGCCCAACGTACCCAGTAAACACCGAAATATACACCAACTATGAGTGTAAGTCTATATCTGTGTATATATACGCAATTATAAATATAAATTCATCTGTTATTATTACTTCCTTTTCCTTTTTCCCACTGCAAAAAAGCAGTTTATCATCATCATCATCATCATCATAGTGCAAGCCCAGATGCACACACACACACAGAGAGAGAGAGTCTCCAAGAACACACACACACACAATGGAGTAGCAATAATAATAATTATAGGATAAACACACAGAGAGCAAAAACACACAAAACACAATATCAATAAGAAACAAAAAAAGAAGATAATCCCAACAGGTGGAAGATTAGTTAGACTGTAGGGTTCATACAAAAAAAGAAAACAAAGAATGACTTGAGTCACACCAGCACCACTAGCACAATTACAATCAGCACACAAGAATACAGGCCAGTGTAACCACAATCAGTAGTGGTACACGCACCCACACATAACTGCTGATACTGCTGCTGCTGTCTGCATCACCCTTCTTGTTGTTGTTTGCAGGTTCAGGAGGAAGTGTTGCTTTTGTTGTTGTGGTGGTGGTGTCTGTATTACCCATATCACCTTCTTGGCTACCTGTTGACTCACTCCCTGAAGGAGTATTATCAGGTTCAGTCGATGCAGGATTAGAACCAGCATCACCCGCTGTGGTTGTATCGTTAGAAGAAGATGGAGGTTGTGATGTTTCACTTTCACTTCCTTCATTGTTGCTGCTGATTCCAGTGTCAGGTGCACTTGCAGGTGCCTCAGGATTCATAGCAGTATCAGTAGGTGCAGCAGCCTCTTGTTCTCTTCGAGGGTCCGGAATTTCCTGGTCAGCTTGAGCACCAGCGCGATCGGCTTCACCAGCAGGCCCTATACTTGGTGCACCAACACCACGAGCAGCACCGTGACCATGTGAAGCCTCAGCAGCCGCTTCCTCTTCAAGCGGTTTGTTTCGTAATGTTGGATCTTTGGGACAATTAGGATTAGCTGTATTACCATCAGGACAAGTAGTAGCACCAGCACCAGCAGGACCCGGTTCACCTCTTTCACCAGCAGGACCAGCAGGACCACGAACAGCATTAGCAGCACAACTACCACCAGTAGAGCCACCATCAGTACAAGAATTAGGAGTAGGAGCTTTAGCAGCAGCAGAATGAGTAGGCGAGCAATTATTACCCTCACCAGAATCATTTGTCTCAGGAGGACAAGGAACACCAGAATCAACTGTAAGTGAAGAAGAAGAACTTGCCACAGCTGTCACACCCAAAAAGACAACACTCAACAGCAAAGCGAGAAAACAAAACACACGAGACATCATCACGACAGCAAGATTTAGTTTGTAGTTATAGGCCACTTCAATGCAGAAGAAAGAAGAGATAAAGATAATTAATACAAGCACTCAATACAATAAAAAACACACACAGAGAGAAACAAAGGAGAGCACAACACACAACAATCACTCACACAAAAGAAGATGAGGAGCAAACAAAAACAAATCAGTAACACCGAAAAAAGAATACTCCACCATCACTCAGAGTACAACGAAAAAGAGAAGACCACATAATACCCAAGTAAGAGAGAGCCAAACACACACACGATACCCCATGGCTCTAGATTATATATTAAATTACTGCACACACACATCTGTGTACTAGCAAGAGATGTATACCGTCAGTGAGCAGAACAGCCCAGTTTTCTTGCACACACAACGGGAAAAGCAAGTAATGGAATTATTAGAAAAAGAACACACACACACAAAAGTAAAAGAAAAAAGAAACTCGAATTAAAAGAGAAAGCTGGTAAACAGATTATTAGTTTATTCACCCATGGGGGATGTACGCAATTATGATTATGTTAGTTTAACCATTATTATTATTATTTGATCTCAAGTGAGTCCCACCTTTCAGTACACCACAACGGAAAACAACACAGCCACAATCAGTAGTGGTGCTGCAGTACGCATCCACACAGGACTGACACTGCTGTCAACATTAGCTTTGTTCTTCTTATGAATATTAGAGGCAATGCTGCTGATCTCTGCATTAGGTAAAGGAACAGGAGATGGAGTGGTGGTTGGTGCATCAGTGGTTGTGTTCTCGGTGCTTGACGGAGTAGTGGAATTGGTTTCTTCTGTTTCCGTTTCCGCACTCACACCCATGTCTGCGCCAGAAGCACTGGAATCTGTACTCTCGTTATTGTTAGTGGTTTCTTGTGAGGCTGGTACGCCAGTCAAATTAACAGCTGGAGGAGATGATTTATGGGTAGGTTGGTCTTCACCGGTTGCAGTGTTAACAGATGTGCTGCTCGTTGCTCCACGATCACCTTCAGCAGCACCATTAGTCCCCGGAGTTTGGCTTTGCGTTGTAGCGGCATCAGTATCTGGTTTCTTTTCTGCAATACGATCATCTTCTGATGCACTCAATTGCGATCCTCTACTTTCCTGATCCAAGGTTGCCGATTCTTGTGGTTGATGTTCGAGGTCTTGTCCGTTTCTGTGAGTATCTTCCTGATGTTCTTGTTGTTCCACATGGTCATCAGAGTTTGGTTCACTGGGAGTACTTGTTACTCCCTCTGACGTACAATTTAATTTATCAATATTAGCTGAAGGGTTAGTCTTACACTCCTTTCGCAAAATCTGTATATCCCTTTCCCGATTTTGTCGTTTAACAGTTGCTGAATCCCATCCCCAATCATAAGCCATCACTGCCTTTGGCTGTCCTGCCTTAACAGTAGTAGTAGTAGCAGAAACGGGAGCCGCCATGGTATACCCGCAGGCACAGCACAGCACAACGGCCAACACACACATCACACGGCGCATCATCATCATCATGAGAGAGAGACAAGGGTTTGGAGTACGTAAAAACACTGATCTAGAAAGAAAGACAACCAAAAAGCAAAAAGGAAAATAACTGAAGTATCAAACATTTTAGGACACACAAATCGATTACCACTATGGAAACTCACATCGTGAAAGTAAACCCTACCAGTTAAAGAATGCAATACAGCGCAATAACCTCAGTAAGAGTAAAAACAAAAAAAGAACGCCCACACTCACAATTATATCAAAAAAGGCTGAACCAGCCAGCAAAATCATCAAGCAAAAAAAGATATTAAACATTAGCCCAGTTTACACAGTAAACACATAAATATACACCAACTATGGGTGTAAGTCTATATATGTGTGTATGCAATTATAAATATAAATTCATCTGTTATTATTATTTCATTTCCCACTGCAAAAAAGCAGTTCATCATCATTATAGTGCAAGCCCAGGTGCACACACAGAGAGTCTCCAAGAACACACACACACACACACAATGGAGTAGCAATAATAATTATTATAGGATAAACATAGAGAGCAAAAACACATTAACATTAAGAAACAAAAAAAGAAGAGAATCCCAACAGGTGGAAGATTAGTTAGACTGTAGGGATGTATGCAAAAAAAGAAAAGAAAACAAGGGATGACCTGAGTCACACCATCACACCACCACACAATCAGCAAACAAGAATACAGGCCAGTGTAACCACAATCAGTAGTGGCACACGCACCCACACAGAACTGCTGATACTGCTGCTGCTGTCTGCATCACCCTTCTTGTTGTTTGAGAGTTCGGGAGGAAGTGTTGTGGTTGTTGTTGTTGTGGTGGTGGTGGTGGTTATATCTGTATTTCCAACAGCATCTTGGGTGCTTGTTGCTTCCGTCCCTTCAGATGTACCATCTTCATTCGATGCAGGATTAGAACCAGCATCACCCGCTGTGGCTGAACCGTTAGGAGAAGGTGGAGGTTGTGATGTTTCACTTTCACTTCCTTCACTGTTGCTGCTGTTTCCAGTGTTAGGTGCACTTGCAGGTGCCCCAGGTCTCATAGCAGGATCAGTAGGTGCAGCAGCTTCTTGTTCACCTTGATGTACCGGAGTTTCCTCTTGAGTTGGAGCACTAGCGCGACCTGCGTCACCAGCACCGTTTCCTGCTGCGCTGACACCACGAGCAGCACCTTGACCATGTGAAGCCTCAGCATGGCCTTCCGCTTCAACCGGATCCATTCGTAATGTTGTATCTTTGGGACACTTAGCATTAGCTGTATTACCATCAGGACAAGTAGTAGCACCAGAAGGATCCTGTTCACCCCTTTCACCAGCAGGACCAGCAGGTTGACCGTGATTCTTCCCTTTTCCTTCGGCTTGAGGACAAGTACGACCACCAGTAGAATCAGAAAGATCAGAAGAACAAGACGTATCATCACTATCAGACGGACAAGTAACGTCCTTTTCTCCTCCAGCAGAAGGACAAGTACCTTTAGAACCTGGACCACCTGACTCACCCTCTTTCCGTGCAGCTTGTCCAGTAGTAGCAGACGCGTTCGTCGCCACACACACAGAAGACATGCTCAAGAGCAAAACAAGAGAAAACAACACACGACACAACATCACCACCGCAACAAAATATTGCTTCTTGATTTGGAAAATTTAAATGCAAACGCAAGAAACAAATAAGAACAAAAAGGAAAAAATACAATTATAACACAGTCTAAAATACGAATAGAGCAAAAAAAAAACCGAGACGTCAAAACACATTAGAAAAAATAAAAAGAGGAATACATAACACCACATACACCCAAGCAAAAGGAAAAAACAGAACTTAGGAGCACAAAACACACAATCCAGCGACCTTTGGTTATGTTTGAGTTAATATGCAATTAATACTATATTTGTCTGTTACTGTCTTATTTTTCCAATGACTCACCATTATCATTGCCGTAGGGCAACGCCCATAACGATCCAGCAAACAAAAAGCAAAGAAACACATATTAACACGTAGCCCAATTTACCCAGTAAATACAGAAATATACAACAACTATGGGTGTAATTCTATATGTATGTATATATACGCAATTATAAATATAAATTCATCTGTTAACATTATTTCCTTTTCCACTACAAAAAGCAGTTCATTATCATTATAACAGTGCAAGCCCACAGGCACGCACACAGAGAGAGTCTCCAAGAACACACACACACATACAATGGAGTAGCAATAATAATAATTATAGGATAAACACACAGAGAGAGCAAAAACACACACAAAACACACATTAACATTATAAAACAAAAAAGAAGATAATCCCAACAGGTGGAAGATTAGTTAGACTGTAGGGATGTATGCAAAAAGGAAACAAAGGATGACCTGAGTAACACCACACCACCATCACTACAATCAGCACACAAGAATACAGGCCAGTGTAACCACAATCAGTAGTGGTACACGCACCCACACAGAACTGATGATACTGCTGCTGCTGTCTGCATCACCCTTCACATTTGGCATTATGGTGTTATTGCTGATTTCAGGGAGAGTAGGAATTGTACTTGTGGTGGTGGTAGGTGAGGTTGATTCCTCGTTAATGGTGGTATTGAGAGTGACAGAGGTTGTGTTCGCTGTGGTGTTCCCTTCTGCTGATGCACCCACAGTAGCGACACCAGTTGTTGATTCATTCTCTGTAGTTGTCACATTATCAGTGGTACTGTTGGGCTCCGTGCTCGTGTTATTCAGTCTGTTTAAATCATCAGTAGATAGACCAGATTGAGTTATTTCACTAGGTGATGCATCTGTAGTAGGATGTGGGTTTGAGTCAGTAATAACATGGGATTCAGTACTTTGTGTACCTGCGGTATTTGTTTCTGTATTGTGGTTCTCTTCTTGAGGACCGTGTGTGGTTCCCTTTATCGGTTCGTGTTGCCCCTCAGTTCTCCTCTCACCTGACTCACTGGGTACTGGCTGCTTCTGTGTATTCTTTGCTTGTTCAGACACCACATCCGTTTGATCGACACTGTGATCTTGTACAGGAGGAGGAGGAGAAGATAGGACAGTTTCCGGTTTACTCGCGTTCAAAGGACTTTGAACTTCTAATGTGTCACCTGCCTTTTGTTCCATCACCTTCTGCTCTCCATCCATCTCGTTCCTGTTCAAAACACCGATTTCACCTTTAGTAACACTATTGGTCACGACAGGACGATTCCCATTCTTAATATCTGCACCAGGCAAACCATTAACACCTTGAATTTCCTTCGTACTGCCGGGACCCTTTGTACCACCTGGACGAACAGATGAAAGATCATCACGTTGA